GCCTTGCTGCTAGCTTGCTCAATGCGGGTTGGCGATTTTAAACTTATAATTAGTAATTATAAGCCAAGGTTTCCTCACGATGTTTTCCGTCATTCGTCGTTTGTCAGTGGTGTCTAAATATTCTTAGAAAGTACATATAACTCGGAAAAGTCATTGGTAGGTTTCGAACCAGCGGCCTCATGCATGAGAAGCGGGCGTCTTAAACCTCCAGGCCAACACGACCAAACTTTTTATTTTTCCTTTTTTTGATTCAACTCTTCAACTTGATTATTTTTTTTTTTTTGTCAAACGTTCAATTATAAATAGAATATGCCAAAAAAATGTTTAGGTAAATGTAGTGTGGGTACTGAAAACGTTCAAATAAGAACAACTTACCTTAAATTGTTTAGCCTGATGTGTGAGCTTGTGTTTGTTGAGATTGGAAGGGTTGACGAAGGTAGCAGTGCACTCAGTACACTTGTATGGTTTTTCACCAGTATGTGTGCGCATATGCATCACTAGGTAGTATTTGTGTTTGCATCTGTATGGGCACAGGTCACAGAAGAAGTTGAATGTGTTTGTGTGAACCAACCTGTATGAAAATAAAAGTTATAGTTGATTAGGCTTATATGTAAAGAGACAAATGTTGGGACTAAGCTAATTGTGCTTTATTAAAAAAAACAAAGGTGTGTTGAACTTTTCAGAGCTCTCTCTGTCTCCCAAAATTTATTTTTAGTCACATTTATAACTTTTACATAACAGTTAGATGTTTGTTTTTCCATATAGATAATCCAACAAAGACAAGATATATTTTGTCTAGTGGTGTCACTGATATCATTTTCTAACAATATCAGTCTTTGAAATGATTTTACTCACATGTGATTTTTAAGTCTAGCAATAATAGGGAACTCCTTGCCACAAGTAGGGCACTGGTGTGGCACAGTCTGCTTGTGTATGTGCCGCATGTGTTGGGCGATGCTCAGCACCAACTGGCCACAGATATCACACGCGCGCCGCATACACTGCCGCTCCCGTCGGTGATCCATCAACTCGGCCTAAATAAAAAATAAAATAACTTCGCTAAAAGTATTCGTGAATTTTGTCCCACACAATCACTTAAGTCCCAGGATGTCCATTTTCAACGAGATTCCAATAAGAATGGAATAATATGCAACAGTAAGCTTATTCGTTTATCTTTTATATTCAAATCAGTGTATGAAACAGATTAATAAGGCAATTCTTTTGCGATCCACAAATTGTTGTTTCGGATCTGGGTACATCCACGACACGCGAAAATCCTAATGTGAGACAATGTTTAAAAAAAATGCTTTACTTACAGGAAAAATTGGATGGATATGGCTTTTCTATGATCCAATTAATTACATGTGAAATATAATAAAGTATTAAGTAGGAAATACTTATTGAGGATATCATAATACAAACCTTACTAGGGAATGTCAAGTCACAAGGTGAACACTTGAACTGTTTCACTTTAGGTTGCTTCTTTTGTTGCATTTGTCTTTCTCTCCTCATCTGTTCCTGAGCAGCCTGTTCCTGAATTTCCATCCTCTTCTTCTTCATCTGATGCAGTATTAGCTGGAAGTCATGTTTTGAATAGGGATATGATGGTGTCACTGGATTGCCTGCAAAAAGTAAATTATATAGAACTTACCTTTACAAAATAAAGGAGAAACATCTAAAATGTTGCGACTGGATGAAAAATATAATTATTATTTCTGTTAAAAACATCACATTTCTTAAACAAACAACATGGTACCAGAAGCTAACAATGGCTAATTGGATAGCCAATACAAATATATATAATTGGATACACAAAATAAACATGTGGCATGAACACTGTGTACCACTATTGTAACTAGGTACACAAAAAAACAGTTACATAAACATGAAGGCTCTTTGAAATTCCCTTTATTCTAATTGGTAAGTAATTTGCGTATCTAAGATATAGAATGGGTTAAAATATGTGCCAGTTAAGCTAACATTAAAATAGCAATGGGTAAATGGCCTTAAATTTGAATAAAATGTTTCGTTACCTGTTGGGTTTAATATTTTCTTAAATTTCTTATCCGAGGCTTCACACAAGCTTTTAAAATTAATTGCATTCTTCAAGCTTTCCAAACATTCAGTACAAATAAACTTTGGCAAGGAGTCATCCACTTCTATCTGTAAGATAATGCAGACATTGAAAAACAATAATAATAGTAGTTCACTCATAAGCAATAACAATAATATTTTGGTACATTTTATTAGATTCTGGTATTAGACTTATTGATTCTTAATGGAAAATTACTATAGTCAGAATTTTAATTCGAATCCAGATTTGACATTAACTACTGTCATTTTGTGAAATAATGATACCACATATTATTATAATACTAGATATAGTGATAGTGATGAACACAAAAATAGATAAACAATCAGTGTGGGTGTTTTATAATAAATGTTACAGAAAGTGACAGTGATAGCGATAGTGATGATGGCGACAATTTATAAAATAAATTATTACCATAATAATAATATTTTTTTTTTTTTTTTTAATAATAATAATTCTTTATTCATATACCAACATCTCAATACATCAAGCTCTGTCTCCTGAACTAGGCGTTGCCTGTATCTCAGGAGGCAGTACCTTCCCGTTACATTTCTGGTACAAATAGTGGTTACAGAACAGAAGGCTTAATAACAATTAGTGACATTATGAATAACAAAAAAGGGATAATAAAAGGAGTAAAGTATTGATTTGAGTATGTATGCGTGTAATTGTTATGTATGTAAGTATACAGTATATTTGTGTGTATGTGTGAGTGAGTGAGGGTGTGTGTGTGTGCGTGATTGTGTGGTAGGTGTGTACATGTAGGTGAGTAAAAATTTTCTGTGTGTATGTAATCGAACTAGTTTGCATGTAGTTGTGGTAGTCAGAGTGTGGATGAGTGTGCTTTGCTAAGAGTCCCATTTTAGTAGGCTTTCTGTTGTTTCATAATCCAGGCTCTGCAGCCACTCCTGTGTTTTGGTTTTTACTTTATGTCTGTTTAGTTCCAATACATTTAGTTTGAGATTGGCTTTTTTATACAGTATTGGTCCCAAGATGTAGTGCTGTCTTGCAGCAGAAGCGGTGTGGTGTGATTCAGCTATGGGAAGGACTTTAGTTCTACGTCGCTTTTTGCGGGGAGACGGAGGGAGCAATTTGCCATGAGTTTTCAAAATTAATTGTTGCACAAAGAGCTGTCGCACAGTCAATACTTTAGTGTCCTTGTATACTTGAGAGGTCGAATATTTCCTGGGTTTTTGGAGCATTACCTTAAGGACAGCCCTTTGCGCACGCTCAAGTACTAAGAACTTGGATTTGGATGCTCCCCCCCAAACCGTTATGCAGTACGTAAGGACAGACTGGCATATTGCTTTATACACCATTTGGAGTATTGTCCGGTCAGCAATGCGCCTAAGGCATCTAAAAATATAAATCAGTCTTCTGACCCTAGATGATAACTGATTTAGGTGAGAATACCAGTTAAGTCTGTCATCAATTGTCACACCTAAGTATTTAACACTGTTTGCCCTTTTAAGAGATAGACACGCGCACTGGGATTCACAATTACATAATACATCTATCTGTTTTATTTATCATGTTCCTTCTGATTACATTTTCTTATTTATTTCACACACAATTATAAAAGAAAAGTCTCGTTAATTAATCATCAAAACTAAATTATCGGTCAGAAATATTTAATTTCCTGATATACTTAGTTTACAAGAGTAAAATTATAAACGAGAAGAATCAATCCGGAAATATTCCATTTCCATATCGAATAATTTCGCAATGTCACTATTTAGTACTTGTCATATTGTTTCAACACTGAAATTGTCAAATCTGGAATTGAATTAACCCGTTGAAATCCATCCCCTAAATTTGGTCATACAAAAGTAGTCTCTAAACATTACAAATAAGGTCTATAATGTAATGTAATATTAGTGGAAAGCGGTCACCGGTGACCGCTTAGGGATTTATGGGTTAAAATTCCGAGTATACTTCTAGAGAAACATTCACCAAAGACTAATTAGTTTTACAAGAAGAATTTACAAACTAATAATATTCTTTGTCAGTCAACTCTCAACAAAGAATTATAATAAAAATAAAATCTACTCGTAGTGCTCTATGCTTTAATGACTTGAATCTTAGAATTGGTTTATCAACTTAAACTTACAGTAATGTTGCAAACACTTCGTATAGCACTCATAATATCGTAACCGTTGATTCGATCCCTCAGGGGATGGCAGGCACTTCTGGCACACACTCGACATATCATTTCCTTAGACAGATGCAACACCTTATTGCTGCAAATGAATAAACAATTACTTACATTAGAACGTTCATAAACCCTTGAACCAAAAGCTATGTAAATAAAAGTTTGATCGGCAAGTACCTATAGGCACTAAGCCATGAAATAATTGTAAACACTTACTTGCTCTCGTTTATAAGGCTAGGCCAAGGATCATCACGATTACTTGTCTCGATCTTAACAGGGGAACCACACGGATATTTCACTTGATTCATCTTTGATAACATTTTCTTTGTTAAATAGACTGCCATGGTTACAATACATATGTTCTTACGATATGTAATATTCTCAAATTTCACATTTTTAGTTTATTTACAACAAGAATCACGAACTCGTAGATTGATGATTTGACAACTAACTGACGTGAATGATCAATGAATAATAAAGAGGAATGAATGCACCTCTGTCCATATTGTGTCTGTGTACATAGTAAACTTACGACTGTGTATGGTGAATAATTTAACGTTGGATGAATAATAATTTTAAATATTTTACATATAATTATTTAAGTTATAATAAAGCTACTAATACTCAATGCACTTATAAAGAACAAATTGTTTTTTCGTGAATAGTGTTACATACATACACTTTTATTTATCTATGTGCATGTATTTGTCATTTGGCAATTTGACATTGACAGCTTTTCTTGAAGAGATTTTTGTTTAGAAAAGGATAGGCATAGAGATTCACAATGAGTGTAAGGATATAAACAATAAACAACTGCTACTTTACAATACAAATGTACTGTAAAAATACAAAAATGTAAATAACTTTCGGTGGCAATTGAATTGTGTTCTTGTTACGGATTTTAAATAAGAAAACAATGTCTTCTCTTTTATTGCTCAAATCTATGTTGTATGCTAATGCACTTCAAAAAAGTAAAAAGAAGAAAAACAGGATGAAAAAAGCATATAAACCGTACGTATTGCATTTCAGAAATACTGTACAATGACTTAAACTACAATCCTTGTATGTAATAGCCCAGCCTAATGAAATAAATCTAATTGTATGTTACTTAAAAATCCAAGTCAACTACTATTAATATTGTCATAGATTCTTAGATTTAGTATAGGTAATAATAACTCAAGTTTATTTCATTTACAGGCCCAAAAGAGAAAAAATAAACTTAATAAATATGTGCAGGATATGCAACAATGAAAAGGGAGATATTCCAATATTTAACAATTTTAATCAACCCAATATTCCTGAAGAAATACAGAACTTTTCTGGTATTCTTGTAAGTTTTAAAAGATTATTTTTTATTTTTCTAGAATTATAATAAGAATTGTGCCTAGTGTATGGCGATAGGCTTAGCAGGGGGTGTACATGGAACTAATAACTTACTGTTGTTAAAGAAATAGGTAATACATTGAACATGTAGGCCTTTGCTTACCCCTTTGAGTGATATATTAAGTCATGTTCTAATCTAATACTTTTATACTTTCAGTTAAATAATGCTGATAATTTATCAAAACATATGTGTCAAAGCTGTCTGGACTTGTTGAATGGATGTATAATGTTCCGAGAAATGTGCCAGAGAAATAACAAACACTTGATTGAAATTACTATAAAACAAGGCAAGTAAAATTGTAAGATCTATTAGGTAAATGAAAATAATGATAACTTAAGATTTTAAACTGTCAAACACCGAGCGGTCAGCGGTGACCGCAACCTATTGTTCTTTAATTGTGTCTATATTGACAGTACTTGACGAGTTAATAGAAAGAAACAAATAAACTTGTTATATTTTATGTCACAAATGAATAGATAGAAATTGTGTCTTATTAGAATATGATCTTAGTAACACTAGTTATTGTGATTTATACCAGTATCTGATAATTATCAAAACAGTTCCTTTCAAAACTTGTCTTCTTGAACCAAAGATAAAAAGTAAGAAAACCTTGTCTAGCCAATTTTTATTAAAAAACTACAACTATATTTCATTTACAGAATTCAATCAAGACAATGCAAATTTAGAAGAGGATAATGATCCAAATGCTGATAGTGAAGACTCATACAATGTCCCATCACCAACATTCTCCACAGATAACTCAGAACTTCTATCTCTGTGGAGGTGCAGCAAGTGTGGAGAAGAGTTTTATGTTATGGTAATACTATGTTATCAAACATTTTTTTTTTTTTTCTTTAAAAAATACGTTACCCAAAGAACCTAACGGGTTACCGGGGCTCTGGCTCGACGTGCAAGAGAAGGAACGGGGTGGTTTTTAGTCAGTAAGAGTCTGACACTCCCTCTCGCAACACCCAGGCGTGAGCAGTCATTCGATGATTTTCCCCCCTTTAAAAAAAACCCTAGGATTTTCTCCTGTGTCGTGAGCGCGTTTACAAACATACAAGTTCACATGCACATTACACCCAGATCCGGAACAACAATCTGTGGATCACACAAAGAGTTGTTCCGTGCGGGAATCGGACCCACGACACGTTGCACGGCAGCCAGTTGCCTAGCCACCGCACCAACCTTTGAGACGTAATTAAGAAACTATAAAACAATTATTTTATATAAATGTTTAAAAAATCCGACTTCATTCCTATCTTTTGAAGTTGGTTAGGTAATTCATATACTAAAGTCTTCTCCTAAGTGTACCTAACACTTTTCTGAAAACCGCATCAAAATCGGTTTAGCCGATCGCGAGATAATCGCGCACAAACATACATACATACATAGAGGTCAAACTAAGAACCTCCATTTTTGACGTCAATTAAAAACCCTCTAAATTCTGACCAAATTCATTAAGTGCTTCTTAGATCTTTGTGGTTCTTAGATTAAAAGAAGTGATTCTTAGATCACACTATATATTGAACTATTGTTCATGATTGATGAAATATCTAATAAGTTTTAAATTCTCGAAAATACGCAATTCATCATTTATGCTGGGGATATATCAATAAGATTCGTATCGCTTTGGCTCGCAAAAAATCCGTCATCGGACATACACGATGTTCTCGTCTACATTGACAGGCCAAGATTCAGAAAGCGGCATACGGCGAATATTCTTTTTTTAGTTGTGTGGCCGATACGATGGAGAAAGCAGTTTGCGTTACTTGACTCTATAGTGTACAAAAATACAAGAACGTCAGTCTTAAAGTCTGGACAACACTGAAGTGAGGTAGATGTTGCCACTCAAGCGAATATTGTAGCGACCAAGGCGACGAGTCCTTTGAAGCGCGCCAGTTTACCGACAGTCCCCCGATGCTACATCGTCTGCACGCGAATAAATCGCGTTGCAACGATATAACAGGCCACATACATTGCCGTAGCCCTAGTGGTGACATTAGTATGTAGTCCCACCATTAGAATTATTAGTATTATCTATAAATATACCATTTGTTTCGACAGTCTGACTACACCAATCACATAAGCAAGTGTAATGCTCAACCCTCACAAGAACCAAAGCCACCAGAGGAAGTAACTAAGAAGAAATTCCTGTGTGACATCTGCGGGAAGACTGCACTCTCTAATGCAAGCCTATTAATACATAAGTAAGTTCTTTAATAATTAAACAAGAACTCCATATCAATTTAGATGTAATAAAATTGGCTTACTCATATAATATTTTATGAGGTTACTCAACTGGTTTCAAGCCATGTCGGGGACCCTTAAGACGGTAAACATCACGCAACCGCGGCGTCAACTGTGATTATAATTTATGCCACATTTAACAATACCACATTTGTCTAGAAATATGTTTCCTGTGAGAATTTGTTTGTCAGACTTATTGAATAATATTTGGTACAAGCCCATTTTGATATTGGAAAACGTCTACTTACAGAGCCACCCATGAAAATGTGTTTCCCTACAAATGCGACGTTTGTCCGTATCAAGGTAGAACAATGGACCTGCTGAAGGTGCACAAGAGATCTCATTTAGCTGATAAACCGTTCAAATGCACGCAATGTCCAAAAGCGACAACTACATCCAGTAACCTGGCTAAACATATGCGACATGTGCATAGCACTACAAGACCATACAAGGTATGTTGTGTTTTTCATTACTTCCATCGATTTCTTCAGACTTTAATCAACCTAGTCTTGTTTATAATAGTGCTAAACTTTGCACTAGAAATGGGCTACTTAACTTTGTGTTGATATACCCATCAATGGACGACGAAGGTCACTTATGATCAAGAGATCAGTGATTTGTCTAGTGTCTACTTGCTTGCCCTCTAATCCTATATTTTTATAATATTAACTTTTTGTTTGTAGTGTTCATACTGCGAAAAGGCATTCTCCTACCAACACGATATGAAAAGGCATGTTAAAGATATACATTTAAGGCAAGGCACTGTTGAATGTGATATCTGTTGTAAAAAGTTTAATACAAAGTAAGTTTGTTTTAAACCATTGTTATATGTATGTATTGCTAGTTTATTAATGTGTATGTAATGATTCATCATGTTATGTTTACACTTTATAGTTAAGTACATTGACTTATTTATCTATGTATTGTTTTAGAAAAATTTTACAAGGACACAGATGGAAAATTCACAAAATTAAAGGCGAAAGACAAGGTCGTCTGCCGTCGTACTTGCAGTGTCAAATGGGAAAACCAAATGATGAAAACGAGAGTGACAAGGATAACTGTGATCCAAATTGTTAACATTTACTAAGTTATGATAAAATTAAGTACAATTAGGTACCTAATTTCAAGAGTTATTGCTTTGGTCTAGAATTCTATATAGATTTAGACAATATATACTCCTTGTTCCTATCATTGTTTTTGTAATATAGACAATGGACTCTCTTTTTTATCAAAGTGTAATGCGAAATGTTCTTTTTTCAAAGCCCCCAATACAAATTATAAATTCGGGTAATTTGGTGCTATGTTTTATTTAGGCTCCTATCCTTATCGTTTTAATTATTCTAATTCTTGTTATCTCAATCTGTTTAAGAGCAGGACTAGTTGCAATCAGCGATTGCTCAATTTGTAGATATTAAGAATTAGATAGAATAACAGATTTTGTAGCAACATTGCTGAACTATGTAATCAATCAACAAGAGTATTAACTAGCTTGAAATTATGAAAAGTATTATTATTTAAAGTAGAATTACTTAATTATATTTATTGTCTTATTTTATGTGTTATAGATTATTAATTTACGACTATTATTTACTTGAAGCAAAAGACTATTTATTATTAGAAAGTAGATGCAGAATGTAATATTGTAATGCAATTAAGATGATAGTATAATTTATATACCGATGTATCTCTTTTTTATAATTACATAGAAGTTTAATATTGCAGATACTTTAATTTATTTGTGTCATTGTACCTTCTCGTTTGTAATAAATAATTATATTATTGATATGAAGTAGCGTTTTATATGCATCTCACTTGTGCACATACTGTCGAAGTATACGGTCATGTAAACATTTATATATTTTTTATATCGATCACTTCTATACACGCAATGAGTAATTACAACACTGTGATAGCAATTCTACTATGGTTTCAATTCTGTGTCGCATTCGACTTACCGAGGGATGGGTGTCAAACAGAACTGAAGATCAACAATAATCAGTACAATGTTACTAATACTTATCATATCGGTGATGTGCACCCTACTGACGCTCACTACGATGTTTTTGGCAACCTATTTTATGTAGAAACTGGACTAAACGACAAAGGATATTACTTTAACACCAATGTTATCAAATTCAAAACTACCGCTCCTCAAAAAATACCGGGTAAGTAGTTTTTGATTGCATCTACATACTCACAGACTATGTCTATGATCTATGTCTGTGTACATACCTTTCTCGGTTCAATTTCCAAAAAACTAAAATTAACATTTCACTATATTTAATCTGTTAACTAAGCCCTTTTGGTAAAATGCGTTAAGTTAGCGTTCAATAGACAAGTATTCGACATATCTACCCTGCTTTCTCCCTTTGGGGAATAAGGTGGCGTTATGTGTAAAATTAAATCCTTTTTTAATTGTATAGGTTTACCAGAAGACATCAGTTATTCAATAGCCATCGATAAAAAGGAAAAGAAAGTCTACTTCGGCACAGGCAACGGTATTTTTGAGTATAATTACGAAAATCATTACGCCATTCCTGTTTCTAGTAGTGCCTTCAAATTGGACATGATATTTGTAGACACATACAGCAACAAATATGTTACTGAAAACAATGATGGCGTTGAAGAATTATACTTATTAGACGACGAAATGATGAAGAGAATTCGCTTCAACAGTCTTGAAGCACTCAACGAACTTACCATTGATGACGACAATAATTTCTATTACATAAAAGATGGAAAGTTATATGTATTGAAAACTTATCTTTCATCCCCGCTTTGTATCGGCAATGTGACCTACAATGGAATGGCACAAATCGCTGTCCACAATAGTAATGTATTTATAGCAAGTGACGACCTGCTATATTTCCATGAAAATGATACAGGAGGTATAAAGGTAGTCGACAATGCTCCCGATAATGTAACAGCGATAGCTTTTGATGACACTGGAGATTTTATACTTGGAATTCGCGGCAAGCTTCTAAAATACAAGAAACATGAATGCTACATAAGGAAACCTTAACAATGACCGATAGAAATAATTACTACTAATTGGTGTTTTGAAGGATTCTCATAAATAAATAAAATTTTTGAATTTAATTTTAATATTAAAAATAAATTACATGGATAGGTACATGCCTAATTTCTTATTCCTCTAAAGCTAATCAGCAATATTGGTAAGTTGGTAGTGGTATAACATATTTTAAGAATACCATTTGATTGCTTTACTCAGTCTAGGTATTGAAACAAATTGATATAACTAATGTAAACAAACAATTATTAATCAAACATTATAGTATTATTTATCGTATACAAAGCAACACACCACTTAAAAGTACAGTATAGGTCTGTTGTCATACATAGACACAAAGGTAGTTCAATAGTTTAATAGTTACAAGCTATAAATTAAAAACAAAAATAATCTTAGGACAGTATTACACCAGAGATTTGTGAGTCTATAAAAACAAAAGTACAGTATGTTCCCTGTAAGATCATTAAGAAATATCAGCACACACTGAAAATTTGAACTAATTATCATTAAAGTGCCTTTAACATAAACAATATACTATGTTAGGCGTGCACAATCTACCTAGGTTCTTACTACAATAATATCATAAAAATACTGCTTCCTTTATTGTTTACACGCACAATAAATTCTTAATAAGCAACATTATTTTGAAGATTCATTTACATAATATTTAAATTCTTGCATTCAAGCATCAGACTGCTATGCCTCATACCTAATTACCTAACATAAAGAATGATTGATTAACAATAACTTTAAAATTATTGATAATTTCTTAATGTGGTAGAATACTTTGTGATATCATAGGGAATGTAATAGGCTGAGCCTGAGAATTACTTAATGCCATGGGCTGACTAGTGCTAGAGATAGTAATTTGCTGAGTAGATGTTTGATGGACCAACTGCTGCGCGGAGGGAACCAGCTGTTGCTGTGCGGACTGCTGGGCCGCCAGTTGCTGCGCTGACTGTTGCGCCACCATCTGCTGCGCCGACTGCTGGGCAGCCGCAGCCAGCTGCTGTGCCGATTGTTGCGCTGCAGCAGCCAAGTGCTGAGCCGACTGCTGTGCAGCTAAATGCTGAGCAGATTGCTGTGCAGCCAAATGTTGAGCTGATTGCTGTGCAGCCAAATGCTGTGCAGACTGCTGTGCTGCCAAATGTTGCGCTGATTGTTGAACTGCTAAATGCTGTGCAGATTGCTGGGCAGCTAAATGTTGTGCAGACTGTTGTGCTGCCATATGTTGTGCAGACTGTTGGGCTGCCAAGTGCTGGGCTGACTGTTGGGCTGCCAAATGCTGAGCAGATTGCTGCGCAGCTAAATGTTGAGCTGACTGTTGTGCAAGGTGCTGGGCAGACTGCTGAGCTGCAGCCAAGTGTTGCACTGATTGTTGGGTTGCATACTGGGTAGCTTGGTGCTGAGGACCTAGTTGTGGTTGTAGAGCTGATTGCTGGACGAGTTGCTGAACAGCAGTTTGAGATGCATTGCTCATAAGTTGTTGTGCAGGTTGTGCCAAAGTCAACTGAGCTGGTACTGCTACAACAGTTTGCCCTCCACCCATAAGTGTACCAGAATCACTAACATGCATCAATTGTTGAGCTCCAGCACTAGTGACTATGAGAGCACCAGAATTCCCCATTAGCTGTTGTGTTGTGCTCACTGTTAAGATTTGTGGAGCAGGAGTTAATAATTGTGCTCGAGAGGCTGCAGGAGCCAATGCCAAATTAGGAGTGGCTGCAGCAGGAACTAGTGTAGGTAGGGCTCCTGCCAGGCTCACTACTGGAGTCACACTGACAGTTGCTAGGGATACGGGTGCTGAAGTCCCATGTCTTGAAGTGATCACACAGGGCTGGCCAGTCCTCACAGTGGCTGCCTGTTCCAGTAAAAATTCATTCATAGAAGTTAACTGCACATTCTTTTCTGTTAAATCTGCAATTTTTTTCAAAAGCACACTTATGTTGTCATGAAGTAACTTTATTTTATGGTCTAAAGTTTCACAATTTGAGCACAAATGTTGCGTTGATAAAACTTGATTTTCAATACCATTTTCTTCATATGTAAATCTTCTTAATTTGGCTTCTGGAGGAGAATCTTCGTCTTTCAGAGGTGGTGGTGGGTGGGTGAACTGGTGAGGTGGGGGGACACTGTGTATGGGCACAAGTTCATGTCCACTCACATCAGGTGGATGTAAATATTGACAATCTTGATTGTTACAGGCATTCACTGTATAAGCCTGGCATACTGGGGCACTTCGCGTACTATGGGGAAACTTGCCTGTAGCATAAAAATTATCTTCTTCTTCTACTGTGCTGTGTATGAATTTGCAGTTTTGTCTATAACACCCTTTGTTTTGATAATCATGACAAAATCTGAACAATTCCTTTAAACATGACTTCGGAGGTATTACGTGTATGAATCTGCAGTTTTCTCGAGTGCAACAACCGCGAATATAATCTTTGCAGTAACAGTTTGCGGCCGGGTAGGTCTTCTCACCAGAGTCGGATGTGCTCATTGCACCGTCAGTATTAGTAGTAACGACCATAATTAATTTAAATATCTTTAAAAATTAAGCAAATCACATGTTTTCATTGTTTGCTCTTCATTTAATATCAAGACAGCAGAATAGTGTTAACCGTTGAGACGTTGGTCGTTAGGTACCTTGCTTCTAAAAATCTTCCGGGCTTGGCACTATTCATCTTGACATACTATTAGCACAAATCACACACATTTCATACATACAATTATTTTTGGTCTTAAAATATGCATGCTTCGATATTTTATCGTATTCGTAGTTTTGTACGTAGTTCAACAAAATAAAAATGTGTAGACATTCAATAGACATTGACGAACGAATGTTTTGATGTCTGTCGAACTTCTGTCATGTTCATGTGCTTAAAGACTGCACAGAATCGTTCATTCGTTTTTATTCCGATTTGAATAAATTACTTTCCCTACAAGATATATAAAAATATTACTAAACATCTCAGATTAAATGGTGCAAACAAAGAAATTCAAATGGTTTAAAACATTTGTAAAAAGCATTTAGAGCATTCTTGTATGCGAATAATATCATAGATGTATAAATATGTGGAATAATGTACATCAATCAAAGAACGAATGACAAAGCGACAGTGAGCAAGTGAGTGAGGGAATCAGCATCACATCATAACCCACCCGAACGAACGAACGACGAAATCAAAAACATGGCGGTGACTGTTCAATGAGTAGTAAACACTATTGTATTTTAAATTTTTATTATTGAATTGTATCGGCTTCGTATTTTATATCTAACATGTCTAAAGTGTACAGGATCGTTATAAAATCTGATACGTAACACAAGAATAATCATTTTATCACATTATGAGGTAAGTTTCATTCATCTACACACTACATTTGCAACTATTTTATTTTCATTGTATCCCACGTTGGATTGTGTTAATCCATCTATGTTTCGTGTACTTTTAGGTAACTTCAGAAAGTAGAATGTTTAAGCAACAATTATCGCCTCGCACAGTACACCCTTATCAAACAACGGTGGTGTCTAGGAGCGAACAACAATTTGCATCGGCTGCTCAACAAAGGGCAAAGTATCCGTGGGCGGAGGATATCAACACTCCAGTCTATCAAGTTGCAGGAACCGACAGTTCTACGTCCGACAATGCCTACCATGTATGTTTATGATGCCTTGAAAAGTAAATTAATATGGGATTAGCTTTGAACCAGTTGGATATTTCCAAGTGTCGGTAAACAAAAATGTTATAGTTACATACCCATAACAAAATTTTTAGGCTAAAGAAATTTTATTTCAGATGCCTCACTACTATAATGGTACTACGCGAGAATATGGTCCACCATCACCCGTGTATCAAGCTCCATATGGTGGAGGAACATGGCGCAGCTACAAGAAAGTAGAGAAAATTCCGACCCATCTGCCATCTACAGAGACTTACTCGTTCCCACAGTGTGCCTCTGCTTTCTCACTACCTTTGTGTGATGTGGAGCCTCATACACAGGGTGTGAACAGATCCCCTGTACCTCCTGTACCCTCCATTAGTCCAGAAGTACCCATTATAGGAGCTTGTGGGGGTCATTGCCCAGGATTTGAATATGTGTGCTATTATATTTTGCAGGTGATGTTCAATTTATCTAATTATTTTTATTTTTTAATAAGAATGAACTGAATCAAAAATCAGTCAGTGAGTTTTTTATTCAATGTGAGTTCATATTTTTTTTTTCTATCTTGAATGGCACCCACTTTTATAAATTTAACTTTTTTTCAAAGTATAATTTTCACGTATGTATACAAAAATGTATTCCATGTATTCCATTGTTTTTGTTATTATAATTTCATACCCTTCTTATTGTTATGTATTTCTTTTCAGGTTATTTTTGTAGTTGGTATCCTGACTGGAATATCTCTATGTATTGCTGGAATTGTATTAAGGCGGACAAACCGCAATGGAGATCTTGGTGTATTAGTGTATATAGGTGAGTTAGAGAGTTATTCAAGTATTTACTTTTTCATAATTGCAATAATTTATAGCCAAACTAGTTGCAGAAAACTCCATTGAGTAGTGCTTAACTTTTTCAATAGTTTTAAACAAAAATCAACATAATTCACAAAATAAAGCTAATTATCCTTTTATCTGTTGAAACACTGGCTCCCGGTATAAAACACATTATACCTGCAACTTTCAACAGACAAGCATGCATGCATTATTTTAATTCAGGACTCAGGACTTGAAAATTATCAACCCCAAAATTAGAATATTTCAAAATTAACAATTCATGCTACACATGTTTGATATTTATGCAGAATATTTAACTCTCTGAAAATTACCCTGGCTCCACCCATACATTGCTCACAAGAATTATAGCAATTTTTTTTTTAGGATGCTTATCATCTTGCGTGTGCGGCGTTTTACTTGGCGTCCAATGCTGTGTTCGTCGTGAAATTAGACAAAGGAAACTGCGTGCCAATATGCATATACCAATGCAATCAATTCAAGTAGGTATTTTATTTATAAATGTGTGTGTTTTATAGTTAAAAATTAATTATTTAATGAATTAGATTTTCATTTTGTGTGTTTATGTTTCTAGGAACCTCCTGCCCAAGCTTGCCCATTGTTGACATCCACATTACCTCATAGTCGAGTATATAGGTATCAGAGATGTGAATTATTTGAAATACATGCATTTTAATATATACATATTTTTATTTTGTATTTCAAATACTTATATTGAAGCTTTTTATTAACTTGTAATATATTTTATGCATGGGTATATTTCATTATTATAAGCCAGACTTTCGCTTACTAACACATGTAGAGTAGTAGAATTAGATTATTTTAGAATATTTTTAACAAAGATTGTAAATAATTCTCTGGAGAGTAAAAACATTTCTATGTATCTAACATTTGTATGGTTAAGTAAAATCGCGGGTTACTCACGTGAATATACTGAGAAATTTGTATGGTAAAAGGCTACCTACATGTATTTGACCAGATCTGGGTTTTTGTGTGTTGAGGTACCTATACCTACTATATGTGAAATGGGAACTGATAAATCCAGAATGGTGGACGCGGCGAGTGCGCAGGTAAGACAGGTAGTAATTTTTAGCGAATTTTAAATTCATTATGACCACGTCTGCCGTGTGGAATTATTATTGTATTGCATGCGGAGGCCTGCGCGTTACGAGTAATATGCTTAGTAGCCAGGCACCGAAATGACTGTATATTTTCATTTTCAACATAATAAATCGTTTCATTTTGTGCCCCAAATCGATTTATTATTTATTGTATGTATATTTTATCGGTTAGATAATTCAATCGATATTTTTACACGATTTTATCACCACCATATCTCTAGTGAAACTTCAATTCAAATACCAAACGTTATCACAAGAACTGTCAGATCGCCATAACCATTTTACTATTTTCAGCACTCTGCAACAATGTTTATACGCGTGATAAAGGTGCTCCCACACAGCAGTGCTACTGGTCGGCTCCTATTTTTTATATTTTTAAATATTATTTTTTATTTTGTAAGTAGTATTTAAAAATGTAATTTATAGAGAATTTTAAATAAATATATGGAAATATATTTTCAAATATCGAAAAAAAAAATCATTTGACGTCTGTACGTGGTCAAATGAATTTAAAATTCGCCAAACAAACTTACCTACCTGTATTACCTGCGCACTGTCGCGTCCACCACCCTGGGCTTAGTCAGTCCCCATTTCAAGTATAGTACGTATAGGTGCCTCAACCCAAAAAATCCAGGCCTAATCAAATACATATAGGTAGAGCTTTCTACTAGCTCCTAAACCATGAGTGAAAAATCGTAAGAAAACCTGGGGTTATGATTTCAAACCTTATCTTATACATGTACAGCCTCAGGCTTGTTTGACTAATCTCAGGAACTGGTCTAATTTGCCGAGGAAGGCTACAGGCTATAAAACATCACACTACGATGAATAGGCATTGAGGAGAGCGGGTTAAACGGCACGGAAGTAGCTAGATTTGCTACAAGTTTGAAATTAACCTACATAGAGCAAGCACAGTGATTAATGCTCAAACCTTCTCCGTGCGAGCTTTGGTCAGCAGTGGCCTCTTATAGGCTGTTGATAATGCATTCTCATCAGAATGCAACCTCTGCATTCTGACTCCATAAAAAAATAACAGCTCCGAGAATTATTTTCAATCTTTCTGCAAATTTAACAACATTACCTACACGATAATAACAAATACTATTAATCATAGAGAACTAAAAGTAAAATTTTATACATTACAGACCCACAGTAAATATATGTGCAGAAGATGTGACCGGAGTTCCTTGGTGGCGTCGAAATAACAGAGACTGACTAGTTTTAAGTTCATAATTATACACTCACTTGTGTATTGAAATATTGTAATTTTATTTGCGTAAGGATATACAATTAATACCATGATCTTGTTATTTTTACAATAAATATTATTAATGGATACATAAACAGCTTTTCTTTTATTGTTATTTTCGTAATACAGATAATTAGAAAGGAGACTGAAGTATGTATACATGTGTCCTTAATATCTTTGTAAATACCATTGCATTGCTAATTACAAAATAAAAAAAGGAATTATTCACAAGGTTCAGGAAGCCTCAGTACGAGTTTGTTTCGAAATGGGACCGTGTTCGGCGCTGATTGGTTGGTTCACTGGAGCCGGCGCGTACTCGTTTCAATTACTTTCAACCTACAACAAACAGCGAGTCGTACTAGCCCTCGGAAGTTTGTGACAGTGAATTGTTACTTATCTTCCATAAGAATTCACTGTACTTTTAAATGAAAATAAATAAAAATCCTTTTTCAAGTACAATTTTAATTATTATTCATCCAAACGATTCGACATTAATAAGTACATCGTTAAAAATAAAATAAGTATGAAAGTACATAAATGTAGATACTTCCTCACAAGCTATATACCATTAAGATGGTCAAAATAAATAAAGTATAATATGGGTATTGCAAAATTACATATTTTTGTAAAAATTAAATTTAAATAAATTCAGACCAAGAGAGCATAGAAGTATAGCATCTAAGCAGAAAATGTATTGAATACAAAAAATATAAATTTTCTCCAATTGTTTTATTCGTTCTTCACTTTCTCCTAGTTGAACCGATGGCGAATAACATTTTTATAAGTACATCCTTAACATTAGTAATATAAAATCAATAGATATTTTAGAAAATATACACAACTTTGCTAATTTCATAGCAACCAAAGGAGTGATGTTAAAATATTGCAAGTTTCAAATATAATAAGTTTAAAGAGAGCTCGAAATAAATTAATATAATGTTTTGTAAAAACAAAAAATAATAATTAGGTAAATGCTACGCATTCCATACAGTTTCACAATGCATTCTTAGACAATCTTACAACTACCACGATGGCCCACACGCTTAAATCTAAGGACGGTCAAATAAAATCAATGGGCTAAAAAAATATGTGATGACAAGGAAATGATAATAAAATACTGTATCTAAACTACTAAGTGGTGATTAATTTTTTTGTGGTGGTACGGAATTTCGTTTCCATAAATTCTTTCCAAGCGGCACATAGAAGGATGGATCTTATTTATCAAAGGTGAAAAATATACTAGTTTCACTCATTGCAGCGTACATTTGACCAGTCTGTAGTAAACTAGCGATCCAGTCCACCGATCGCACATACGCACCATACTACTTACAAATATATCGTTTCCAGAACTGTATATTGAGTCTACAATAAAACTAAAACGTCTTTTGGATAAGTACTTTAAATCAATGTTTGTTAGCAACTCGACTAAATTAGTAAGTCATCATTATATAAGTAATTACAAAATACAAATTAATTATATCTACTTAAACAGTTGTGGAAAATGTATTTGCCTCTTACATTTACTATTTTAAAATCTATAAATAATAACACAATTCAAAGGCTGCCGTTCTGAAATATTCAGATTTAGAGAGAAGAACATAAGTCTAATTTAAGTTATATTACCGACATTTCATCGTCCAATCACAATCATCTATTCAAATAAAGGACAACATACAAAAAAAATACGAATTTCCTCTTACTTAGTACTAAAATGTAGAATATAATGTGCCAAATGAAATAATGAGATTGTATTTTATTGCTGTATAGAAAAAAATATTAATTTAAGGGTTGTATAAAAAAAATAAGCACTTACTAAATAAATATCAAAATTGGTGGGGATTAGGAAATATAAATTAGAATGTAAGTATAAACGTAATAAATCAATAAATTACTGTTACTTAAATAAAAGTTAAAGAATAGTAGAGCATGGAGTAAAAGTAAATAAAATATAGAGTAGATAATCCAAAATGTCAAACAAGTAGTACCTACCTACTAATTTTGAGATTTATCAGTTTCAATTGCAATAATTTAAATTGGGATTATAATGTTATGATATTTGATATCTTAAATGTGACAATACACATTCACATTACAACTTACTTCCGTAAACCTGGACAACAATTTGGCCTCTTGACTTTTACTAATTTATCAAAAAATAAACGCGAATTTTACCAAAGCTTCATACAATATTGCAAAATAGTGTTAAACACTCAGTACATACAATTTGTCAGAATAATGTTACCACTTAATTATAAATACAATGTGTAGTATACATTTAAATGCATGATGATCTTAATGATGAGATTAAAGATTATGGAATCTGAACACTTTAAAGAATACTTATTAAACATCTCTTAAATATAATAATCTTGTAAATAAAATAAACATTTACATACATTGTATGTAATTATTAGAAACATTTGCTTGTACCTACTTCTTATTCTTCTCTGACAAAGGTCAGGGTTTTGTGGTCATTGCTATATTACTAGCAAGCTGTCATACTTATCAAATAAATCTATATTTAAAGTAGATATTTAAGATGTTCATATTTAAAGGATATCTAAATACCACGATTACTTAATACTAAATATTAACGCGAAAGCATGATAGAGCAATTTAAATTATAAAAATTATCGAAATTTGAATTACAGTGCATCACAAAAAATCAGACAGGTAGTATCACATAAAACAAGCACACGTTATTGGCGAATAACACAAATTAATCGCTAAAGTGTTTATGAAAAGTACTTCTTTACTTTGTACCAAAATGCAACCTTAACATAATACGGACTATGGACACGAGACTGTCGAGACGAGCGGCGTTAAAGATATGTTACTGATACGAAGTTTAAAAGCCTATACATTGCGATGAAATATCATAAAAATAAATTCTATGTTACTTATGCTTAGCTACGTAACGTATCTCTAACACCGTTCATTACACAATTAGGGGGACTTTATGTCTAGCCTAAGCTCGTAAGAATAATCTCGTTATATCGTAGAATAATCGTATTTACGCAACAGACGGCCTGCCATCCAACATTTTGTCGCTTTCCTCTGCGCTGCTCAAGCTGAAAGAAGAAATATTGTCATGTAAAGTAACGGTGGTGCGCTCGAGTTTAACAAATCGGTTGGTCACGCACGAGTATTAGTTATGCTACTCAGCTATGTACAATTTCCAGTACAAATATCGTATCGCATCGGTGTGATCACAGTCTTGTTACAGCCTAGGAATCGTGAAGTAAACAAGTCAAGACAATGGCGCGAACTTTAACATCACACAGTGAAACAAGACAACGTGGGCATGTGTAACAATAGATACTCGTGGCGCTGGTATAGTTTTAGTAAACACATTATTATACTTCAACTAGCCCCTGTATATTGCAACAGCTATGAGAACTGGAAACCGTCTTCTAAAAAGCTTCTACTCCTAGAAGGTTGAGAAAAGTTCTTTAGAAAATAGCCAAGATTTAATACAATATGTGACTGACCTCGGCGATGACTCACGATTTCGAAATACGTAATTGCATTCAAAATCCTACGCAATATGCTGACAAAAGAGAACCGGTGACGTTTAAACAATAAACTGTAATCATTGTTGCATTAGCATCACAACGACCGGCGACCCTCACAAATCGACATTCAAATATCGTTAAGGGATGTCTGATGACTCAATTCTCAAAGATGTCTCATAGCATGATGCAGTTACGGAATTTTGATCATTAGAACTACCTACGTTAGTAATGAATCGTCATTATTTTAGCGCCAAAATTTATTTGAAACGTTTATAAATAAACTCATTCATTAAACAGATAAAAATTATTATCCTCACCAGTCTTTGTTGTCCATGAGATTGCGCATTTCATCATCAGGCGCGGGCGGGGCGTCGCGCACGGGCGCGTACTGTGCAGCCACAAGAGGATCGGTCGAAGGGTTTAGCGCTGTGAGGGCTGCAGCTCCACTCGCCGGCGCTTCCTTGCCATTGCCCCACCTCGATGAGTACGTTGAAATGCCTAACACTAATACAAAAAGTATAATATTAGAGACCTACATACAAACCCTACATAACCAAGATTTAAAAAATTGAAGATATGGATATAAAACTGACAACTTTAGAGATAACTAAGTACAGATTGTGTGAAGAAGACAAGGTTCTGACCATAAAATTGTTATTCAAGATGTTATGAAATAATGGTCTGCTACAAGCTAGTGACTACTCCGTCATTCGCCTTCAGTAGGTATTCGCTACGCCGATAAATTGTCACACGTTGCGGAAAATCTGTAGATAGCCAGTATACGTAATATAAAGGGTTGGATGTTCAACATGAGGAGCATCAACCTGATCTTGTGTCGTGTAATGAAGTCATCATAATATGCTTTTTACTTCCAGCCCAAGTATTACTTGAGGGCGCATCACATTCTTTAATGTAAGTAATTGTACTATCTTTGGTCAGGCAACTTTATGAGTTAAAAATAAAAGAAATAAGAAATACAGAATAGAATAGAGATAATAAGATAAATGCGTAATAAATAGAGGTAAAAGATAATAATAGTGTTGTGTTTGAAAATTTTCATTTATCAAGTTACCAAGTGAAGATCTAATATGGCATTAATTTTAATTTTGTAAGGCAATTGAATAGAACTTGTTTAAAGGAATTCCTCATTCAAGTAGGTATGCTTATTAACAAATGATTAGTCAAAATATGTCGTCATTACTATTCGTGTTTAATGCAAAGTTATATTCAAAAGGCAGAGGTTCGCATCGCCTTAAATTTTGTCATAACACGTGGGTTGGGTATATCGTAATCAGTCCTCACACTGCGATACACGTGTTCCGTCGATCTTACAATTTATTGGAATATTTTCTATGTAAAAATGTGTACAAAACCTCACGTCTTTATCCTATAAAAGATAGAAACCTTTACATCAATTCTAGTTTTCACGTCCAGTTTCATAACTAGCCTGTATGTAGCACATCAAAAATGAGACGTTCAAGGACAACGAATAGATTTTTGTTGCTAACATATTATTACACTACATGGTCAACAAAAGGTGAGTTTACTACACAAGCGATTGGATCGCGTGGGCCATTTTTAAATGCACCTTATCTATTCTTACGTAAAGGTCAGAAGAAGGCTTGGCCGGTGGTTAGATTGTGATGTGACTGGGCGTAAATGTTACACTTTAATTCTACGAAGCTCAATAAAAATAAATTCTAAAAACTCTACGGTAGTCTATGCGGCCAGTGTTATTTCATTTGAACAAGATTCATTGAATAAATTAGAAATGTTTACCAAGAAGAGAAGTTTTGTTTGTCTTCAAAAATAGACTGAAAGCTTATATTATAGTTCTGGGTTTGTTTAATTGCTCGAGGGGAGTTTGTTGTTAAACATCCTCGTTTTTATGACCAACTTAGAGGTCTGCTTTGCGTTTTAAAATTTTACTCATACCTTCTATCTTGTATCGAATGCTAAACCTAGATAGGCATTAGATAATTAGTTATACTTTGTTTTACAGCCGGTGCCTATACAGCCAGACAAGCTACAAACATGTCTCAGTGTAAAATATCGATGTGCCCTTCACCCAAGGGGTTATTTTCACTATTTCTAAATCTTTATCAATGTATTGACTTATTCAGTATCTCATACTACTTGTAGAAGAAATATGAAATTATATAACTTACTTATGATTGAAGTACAAATGAATGTAGGTGTGTAAGTTGTCATATCATGAATAGAATGCACTTCAGAAGATTACTATGTACCCAGTAAGTAGGTAATCTTTACTGCCAAGCACATCCGTTCACGATAATTTGATTACTAGGCTTGATAGAAACAATCTTTAGGTGAAGTCATGCCGAAGAAACTCTCATACCTACGTAACGAAATGACCATAAAATTTCTCAAAACGAAATGTATTTGTAATGAGTTCGAAGTAATCACTAAAAATAGAAATAGTTTATCTAAACCTGTATCATGTTTAGAACAAAGACGTAGTAGAGAGAGTTCAGAAGGCCCATAGGCAGGTAGTTATTAGAAATTACAATTACCAACATATTACATAACATCACGCCTTTCATCCCCGAAGAGTCGCACATTACGGCACTTAATGCCACTGTACAATATAACACCCACTTTTCACTATTTATGTTATGAGTTCCATGTAATAGGGGGTGAGCCTATTGCCATATACCGGGCACATTTCCAATTACAATTACCACTTCTCTAAAACATTAATAATAGGCTAGACTAGACAACGACAGTAAGCTCTTAGGGAAAGGTAATCAATAATGCTTATACTTACATCCAGAGACCATTCCTAAGCATATTAAGACACTGCCTGCGACCAGTTCGCCGACGCCATTTTCGAAGCTGTGAGGGTCCGGTTCAGCCGCGTTCGAGAATTTCACACCACCCACGATAATCAGCACCGTTCCTGATGGCAAAATGACATAAAAGATAATAACAATAATTTAAAAATAATAATGTTACTTAGACACTTTAACGATCGGAAGTAAAAACATAGTAAACTTTAATCTTTTAGAATTGAATGTATATGCTATAATAGTTTTGGGATCTTAGTAATGAAAATAGTATCGAATTAATTATAATGAATCTCAATAAATAATGTATAGTTGTATCTTTATTTAGATAACTCCAACCACAAACCAAACCGCAATAATATTGAATTAGTATAATTATGATCCCCAGGCTGTCCTTATTATAGCTGGCGATTTACATGATGTGACAGTAACAGCAGTTATTAGCACGTATGTGAACTAAACGAGCCAAACAAAACTACGTTCTTGGCATCTAAAGTCAATATGTGCTCATTAATTTTAAAATTCATGTTGATTTGTCTACAAACGTGATGCTATGCCAAAGTATACCAAGTACCTTTTTAACGATAGCTCGGTAATGTTTTGTCTATATGAATTAATGATCAGAAATATAAAGGATCGCATCAACTTGACAAGTCTTGAAAAAATAATGTTATGGACTACCTTAGCTCTTGCCACAAAAAGCCATTCTTCGGTTAGGCTGGCCCTAAAAATAACTTATTCAAAGCCTGACTAGAAGAGCAAATAACACTTTTACGGTACCTAGGCACATATTCCTTTTAGTTATGAAACACATATCAACTTTATTTATTTGCATTTCAATAATAACATCTAATTTTAGCTGTACATTGTTATCTAAACCCCATAAGTAAATCACACCATTGCAATAATAAATCAGTGAATTTCCTCTCATTGTTATTGGTCACACGTTATCCCTATGTAGGTGTTATCTAATCAAATACTTTAAATAAATTAGTTCAATAAATGTATGAGTACCATAGTTATCCCTATCACAATGGCATTTGTCATTATCAGTCTTCAGATTTAATTAAATCTGTAGGTCATCGTACTAGCAATGCATACAACATACTCGTACATAAGTAGTATGAATGAATCACTGCATCGGCACTCTATGCTAATTACTATTGCAATCACCAGCGGAAATAGATGAGGTCAAATCTTTATTTACTATGCATAATCATCCCAAGACTGCAGTTATCCTTTGATTATTATAACTTTTACAGCTTAGTGTAAATGAATACTCATTATTAAACAGTTTATAGTAGATGTCTTAGCATTCGATTTCTTGTTTAGAACTCCCCGGGGAGTCCTTTTCTGGGCAAAACCACAACAAAATAGATACAAATATTTTTCCAACTAGGTATAACTATTAGAAAAAAATCCACACGTATAATAACTACGTACATTATACAAATCGATAGATGATATCGACATAGACGCGAGTATCGGGTTCGAATTCGAATGATATGATCGCATCTCGTGGTCACAGACTCACAGCAGTGCAACCGCACCCAAGACTTGCGCAAAACAAGAAACACGAGACACATTATGATATACCAGTCTTGGTAAAATTGCAGTAAACTCACAAAATAACTCTCGTTCGTAAAATAAATCCGACACATTGGTCGTAAAGGACTCAACTTTAAAAACAGACCCATTTTTTTCATGTTTCCTTAACAAACGTTGATACGTCATCACATCGCTGCAAATCTAACTTAATACATATAATACTTAAAATAATTTCATCTCGTTTCTTGTTCTAAAATAATGAACACTCCTATAAAAACAGGTGCCTTAGTTACGTCACTCAAACGGTAATGTTTAAAACATAAGGCCAGCAATTTTTGTATAATCATTTTGCTATGTTAAGAGTATAATGATATTAAAATGAATAAAGAACCAATTCACCTTGACAACTCGATGTTCGCCGGACGTGAACCATTTACCAGTTTTATGTTAGTCTTAGATTAGGCGGGAGACTTGTTTTAATCTAAGTATGCCAGTACTTGACTTGGTTGGCTTACCTAAACAAACTATTTACGTCTAAAACAAAATCCCTAGCTACAAATAAAAATGTTTAAATAACGAAAAGGTTTCTCAGTGACTCAGACGAACACGTATTTGGACTTTCCCAATTTCCATTATAAGTAGGGGAGGGTGCACGAGCTTTTTTTTTTTTTTTTTAAGGGGGGAAAATCATCGAATGACTGCCCCCGCCTGGGTGAGGCGGGAGGGAGTGTCAGACTCTTACTGACTAAAAACCACCCCGTTCCTTCTCCTGCACGTCGAGCCGGAGCCCCGGTTACCCGTTAGGTTCTCCGCGACAGGGTGCACGAGCTAGGATAAAATTATTGCTTCTCTTTAAATGTCTCTTTCTTTCTTTAGTGTTAAAGAAATCGTGAATAATGTCAATTTTTAAGCTGTCTGGCTCAATTAGACTCGTTGGCACTGCAAAAAGCAATACAACGTGACATAGAAGAGAACACTAAAAACGGGAATGAATGTATTAATTAGGTCTAATTTCCTTTTTATCAGATAATGACGCAGGTTCCTGTAATTATGGTAATTATTGTCACCAAGTTTTAACGGATGTCATCAGTGGACAACTAACTATGAACTGAATGCATGAATACAATAATTCCTTTAGGTACTATATTTACTAACTAGTTACAGTCACTCGGAACAGACAAAATGCTATCTAGAAATCTAAACACATATGTACAATATTTACTTATTAAAGAAAAAGATTTCTTTGTTTCAACTTCGCCACACTTAAGGGTCAACGACATTTTGTATTTACTGCATAACGTTACCTTGCTCCGAGACAAAAGTTTGTCTGGAAAAAAATATTAATATATTAAGAAGAAACCTTATTCCAACATGAAAAGAGAAAATCAAGCGTTTATTTTATTACATACATACATACTATTGTTTTTTAATTTAACCTAGGTATGTTTGTGAATGCTCACGTGGGTTGCTGATTCAACTGCGTTAGTAATCTCTAAATGCAGATCTGAGTAACTAATTGAAAGTTTATAAACAAAAAGTTCATGGTTAGCTTAACTCACGGTCTTTTACGATATTTTGTGTTATTTCATTTACTCACTTCTGAGTTGCTTGTACCCTTTGCTTTATTTGAATAACTTTTTGGCTTTTTTAGAGCCTCGACATAAATTACGCAAGAACTAAAAAGAAGTAACTTCATGTAAATGGATTGTTGATCTGTTTTTGATACAGTTATTTACTTTGATTGTGTGTCGAAGACGTTCAAAACCGTATGCTGATTTCAAATTCATAAAAGTTGCAATGAACAACCAAACATTGAAGTCTCAAAGTTATTAATAATGCGCTTAAAAGTATTTCGTTCTACTTTAGTGTCTTGCATAATTATAAATGTTTAATTTACAGAAATTTGTAACAGAGGTAGGCAGACATCCTACGCCTACTGTATAACAGGTGGACAGTGGTACAACTGGTACATAAAGTAAACTAGCGAATGCTAGTCCCTACCGACCTACACATAAAACAACAGAGATGTGTTTCTACACACTCTTAAAGCTTTTCAGCTCTTAAAGCTTTCCAGCTTTAAGAGTTCAAGATAAAAATTAACATCAAATAAAGAAATGACATAATCATTGTAATCACTTATAGTATTTCAATAGGAAATAGTCCGGCACGAATCGAAGCATTCAGTTCAGTAGGCAACCGGTTTCGATCGACGTTCTACTACGCCTGGAGCATTGCGAAAATGGGGCACTGCAGCGGAAGGAGTAGGTTAAGGTAGTGGGCAGCAGGCAGCTAACGCATTAGTGATTCATTAGAACTTGCTGGCTTTCACCCGTTGTGGAACTAGAACAATAAACACCCGCGCGGTAATCTATAGCCACTTAGACACAATTTCATATTCCATTGTGTACAGACTGACATAATCCAGTTTTCATCGTTAACGGTACATATTTATTCTGCAAGCATTCTCCATTGTCCTTTTTAGCGTTAGAATGTAAGAAATATCAACAAAGCATTGCATTATCTTATTTTCTTCCTGTGTTGTTAAACTATACTGCTCATCTGCTGGGAGTCTTACTGATATGATAGCACGAAAGCTTAAAACGTGGGTATTAAAAGGTTTTATTGTTAGACCTTCAATGCCGACAGAGTACGACAGCGGGATTCGTGTTTCGCCCACGGGCGACGAAAGTAATGACTTTCCTTCGCTCCACGAGGTATAAGAATGCTGGCTGTTGTACCACTTGGTTGAACGTTCTTCGATTGGATGCTAAAGTTTTTGTCGAATTGTTTACTTACACAATAACTTTCATACGTTAACCAAACGTAACCACCTTGGAAAATAATTTTGGCAGGTTATCTAAATAGTTAGTAAAGCGTGAGTGCAATTATGTTTAATAAAATATAAGCTTTCCAAGACTCTGACTCGCTCGCGTAGACTGTAGCCACGTATATCTCTCAGTTGAAGATTCAAACTTCTAAACAAGAGTTTTTTGCCGCAAACGAGGTCATGTTAATTGTTTTTAATTGGACATGTACAAATTGATGCCAGATTAAAACAACTAAAATAGAAAATGTAGCCACAAATAGGTTTGGGGAAACTAAAACCTATTTGGGTTAGACTTAGAGGGACCCAGTTAACAAACTGGTTATTTTTTACACTAGGTAAAATAAAGTTTTTTAAAGCATTTTCACAAAACTACCTGCATAATTTATTTAGGTAGGTAAACCCTCTCGAGTGTGTTTGTGTGGCGTGTCCAAGGACCAAAGTGGAAGTGAATAAAGCACCTATTACGGAAACGTCATGGCAGTCGAGCCTCGGTGGAGTTTGTCGACCTTCGCTGGTAATGCCTGTTCCATTAAACATCACAGCCGGTGTATTCTACTAGACCTGTAATTCGTACGCCCTCTGATATTAACTTTTAATAATTGATGAATGATATTCTTCTAAAAAGGTAGGTAGTGTAGAGTGTAGTTGTAGATAGATACCTACGTGATACGTGATGATGATACGTTGTATTTAATGTTTCTGTTTAATTTAGAACTCATGTATATTGTATACTATTCGCAGGTTAGTAGTGTCAAAGTCAAAATCATTTATTAATTAGACCAGGGAGGCACTTTGGAACGTCAACAACAAAGATTTAGAAGTGAAGTTAGTTGCTCATTCCAAGATGTAGATTCCTATGGAGAAGAACGAGCATGAAACTCCATAGGTTACTCTTTTTCAATCGGGTTTACAATACAATTCTATAGTTATATAGTTTTGCTGGTTTGATTGTGTGAGAACAATGCAACACCTGTAGTAAAACTATTTAAATAATGTAGGTACCTATCTAAACGAATTCATATTTTTTTTTCATCCAAATTTGATTCAGTTCAGTAAAAAATATTTTTACAATTATTAATTCACTTGTGAACAACTATTTAGGTTCAGAAATAGTGGTCACGCGACTCGCGAGTCACCTCGAAAAGTAAACAAAAACATCGCGTAAGAAAAATGTGATTGCTTTGCAAGAGCACACAATAACAAAATTCAGAGTGCTGTCTACATTTTCGCTTTCTATGGTTTGTCGTGATCAGATCACGGCGCACGCAGCCACCGGATGAGTCACCGTCAGCGACGACCGGCAAGCGCCGCACACCGGACACTCGATACCATTTACGACGACTATCCACCGCTCATTGTGTACGATACGCAATCCACGCAGCTTATCGATGCTACTCGTGCCACCGTGAGTGTGTGCCATCAGAATCATTAAAACTCTATCACACGACGTTCCATAACATTTTAGACAGTCAACAGCTTCGATATGCCTTATTATGTAGCGTCTCCGTCGTACATTATACCTAATCGCTTGTTAGTAAATAGATAAAAATGACTGTCTAATTTGAGTTCTCTTACTTATTTAGATTACCATTATTGATACGTAAGATAAGAAAATGGTTTAACTTTATGATGAACCTTAGAAACAGACTGGTGAAGTATGGAATTGAATGAGAATGAGACAAGTTAGATACAACGACAAAATTACTATAACTTTGCCCAACAGGTTTTGTGAGTTTCCAGGACATGCTTTGGCAAGGGCTTGTATAGTAGAACGAGTTCTGTATCCCCAAAGTTGTAAATTCGCGATTACTCTATAGATACCTACTTTAACTGATTTATCGAAATGGAATCGAGGCTGTATAATATAATATCGTGGCTATTACTTTATGCCTTTAAGCTCCCTTTATACATATTGATTATAGTGGATACTATCAGATCAAGTTACGAACGTAGAATATTAATCAATTGAGTACCTAGTACTAGCGGGTGTGTGGTTATTGCGTACCCTACCTACCTATGGCTTCACCTAAGCCTTTTTGTAGACTAACTACTGTTATAATACGGAAACTGTCTGTCATTCATATGATACAGACAGAGTAGGTACTTACCTAATAGTAGAGGAAATAAAAGCTGTTATAGTATTAGTGTCCGTACCTACTTGCGACAATACGTAATAAAATAATTGAATACGTGAATACTTGAATCATACATAAGATACTACGAACGAAAGAATGACGCTTCTCGAATAAATAAGTGAACAGGAAATTGGCGGAAGTGGATTTTAATGTGAACGGTAAAAATGTACTATGCATAAACAAGTGGAAATAAGGAGGTCGTTCATTAAAATCCGCAAATTATGATTCGAATGATATCAGTAACGATTGACGACAATTAAAACGGAAAAATAAACTAATGAATTTATGTAAAAACAAAAACGTCACACCACACATAATTTTTAGAAGGCATTTGTGGCGCGTCTATCTTTGAAGTATTTAATATGGAATTAAGTAAATGTGACCACAGAGCAATAACTACATAGATCGACAGAATTAATCTGAATATAAATTAGGCGGAACGACTGAAGGATCAATGCACAAAACATCTTTAAAGATTTATCTGTGAAACGGAAGAGACTCAAGTAAACTATGTCTGAATATAGTCTGTCTATGTCTGAATTAGTTGCATGGTTAAAAAAATAGTCTATTGAACAAGATCCATGTTTGAAAAACAAAAAGTTTAAGACTGTAAATAAGGTTTCAAGTGCTAACTAGATTCAGCCTTGTGCATGTTACAGCTTCATGGCTCGAGATGACCGATATAATCAATCAATTAAAGAAAATATTTAACAACATGGTACAACTAACTAAGTAGGTACTTAACTTGTATTTCAGAACTAATAATTTAATCTGTGTTAAGCACTGGCTTATCACTGGATTATAATTATGTCAATTTTATTTAAAAGATCCTTAAATGTTTTAGTTAGAAATAGGAATAAGTAACTAATGCATCAGTGGTAATGTAATGTAATGTTTCATCATGATTGTTTCAATAATATTGACTGTGATAACACATTAATCACAGCTGTAATGTAATTGTAATGACTTTTTACTTCAAATTCTTCCTGGAAAAAACCTTCATTACCTTGTCAGGTATTTATTTATAATCAAAATGCCTTGTTTCGATAGCTATTCAGATACAATAAGTTCATTTATATTATTTCTTGTTTTTAAGGCATTAGAAGGAAATTTTAATTATTTTTGTGTTTTTAGATTTAACAGATGAAGGTAATAATACTTTTTAAATAAATGAAACCTCAAGTGTTATCAGAACCAGTTAAAAATGGGGTTGTATCTGAAGTTTTAGCAACTATTCATGCTTTTTAAGATAATTTACTTCATATGACAAACAGTACAGTAGAAGTACCTGGCAATAAAGTTTATTAAGCATTCTAATGATCTAAAATGAATGAAAGTAGTCTTTTGTTTCCCTGACAAAAGCTAACTGCCTGTTTTTATTGACACTATACCAACCTCATTTGTTAAAAGTTATTTTCTTTTTCTGAATAAAATTAAGATACTTTGTTAGTTAAGTAATAATTATTAATTACTGTACTAATCTTATAAGAGTCTTGAACTGGGTGGGATCTAAAATTCTAACAGCATTGTGATTCAGCATGTTCATTAGTTAGTTAGTTTTTGAAAATATATAACTGGTATTTGGAAGAGTAGGTATGTACTAATGTACCTAATAGGACCTGGTTATTTAGGTATACATAGACAAATACAGAACAACAAAGAATCCTAATTGGAAAAATAAATTCTTACATATGTAGGTAGGTAACTTGCAAACATCTGTTTCTCATATCTTTAATGCAATCTTCTTATTGCTTGCGTTAGTTCACTGGAAAACACGCTTGCTTCACAGCATTGATTATTCGATTTTTTTTTAATACAGTATGATTTTTCTTACCTATAATAAATAAGATGCTGCCTGTCAAACACAATCCCACTCGTAAGCATACGGCTCGGTTCCAGCTAGAAGCCATACGCCGAGAGAAGTAGCTGATGGGACAGTTCCAACGCTGATCTGTTGGCTGTTGTTCATAGGTCACTGTGGTAGGCTGATACACCGCACTTGTAGGCATTTTGAAAAATATTTAACCACAACTCGAACAATGACTACGTTGTAAGATAAAACTATACAAGCACTTCACAGGACAACTTGCAGATCAAGCAAGTAAACACAACAGACTTCACTCACTACAATAAGGAGCGAGTAGCAGGTAACAAGCGTGATGCATGCGTATGCGTGAGCAACGATTTTATTTTATTTTGTATGTGGACCAGCCGCCACAGATTAATTCAAATGAATGAAATGAATGAATGGAAATTGGAAGTCAGTCAGTCAGTCGTTTTCTTTTCACGTAACGTAAGTAGCATGACAGTATAGATAATATTTTATATCGATGGCCAAGCCTGAAATGTAGGTAATAAAATTATTAATAACATACAGAATTTGTATTTTCATGATACAGATTTTTTATTTGTGGAATAGGAGGCAAACGACTAGACGGATCACCTAATGGTAATTAAGCGATCAGCGCTGCCCATGGACACCTGCAACACCAGAGGTGTCACATGTGCGTTGCCGGCCTTTCAAAAAGGAATAAGTACGCTCTTTTTTTGAAGGTTTGAAGATCATATCGGTTCGGAAATACCGCCGACGACAGATCATTCCACAGTTTTGATGTGCGAGGCAGAAAGCTACGCGAGAAGCGCACAGTTGAGGCCTGCCAACCATCTATTTGATGTGGATGCCTATGCTGTCGTGAGGGTCGATGGCGAAAAGAAAGTCTGAAATTTCAGTCACGAGTCTGTTTCGGATCTCAATGACGTTTTCCCAAGAAATGTTGGCGCGGCCGATGTAGGAGGCATCGCCTGTGCTGTCATCCGCATAACAATGAATGCCGCTGATTTGCATCATGTCACTGATATAAAGGAGGAACATGGTAGGCGATAGTACGCACCCTTGAGGGACAACTGCGTATTCAGACAGCAAGTCAACGCATTTACCGTTGACAAGAACCTAAATGCTTCTGTCTGCAAGGAAGCAGGAGACCCATTCGCAAAATTTCTCGGGAAGCCCGTAGGAAGGAAGCTTCGAAAGAAGCTCTCTATGCCAAACCCGATCGAAGGCCTTCGCCACGTCCAAACTTACTGCCAACGCTTCCCCCTTGACTAACTCGATCGCCCGGTGCGTTAGGTAAACTAGAAGATCCCCAGCAGGCCGACCTTTATGACAGCCATATTGCTGATCACTGACCAGCTGATGATCCTTTAAGTAACGCAGGAGCTGGCAGTTAATATTGGACTCCATTATTTTCGAGAAGAGGGAAGTTATGGCTATCGGTCTGTAGTTGCGACGGATTAGACCGATCACCGTTTTAAGAGATCGGGTGGACTAAAGGTGTCTTCCATGATGTCGGAACTACGCCTGAAGAGTAAGAAAACCGCAAAAGACGTGTTACAACTGGAGCTAACTCAGGAGCGCATATCTTAAAAACAATGGGTGGGATCCCATCAGGCCCGCTCGACTTATTGACGTCAAGGGACAAGAGCGCCAAACCTACCGTGCGCTGGTGGAACGGTATGTCCAGCATATACCTTCCGCACCACGGCACAATAGGCCGCTCGCGCCCACTGTCATCCAGTGTCGAGTTGGACTCAAAGATTTTCCCCAAAAGTTGAGCTTTAGCCCTTGCGTACCTAATGAGCCAACGAATCCCCACCCGTGTGCAGAGGTGGAAACTACTTTAAATTGCCCTCGATAGCTTTGGCGAGCGACCAGAATACACGAGTTCCTGAAGGAAGGTGCTCAAGCCTCTTCAATTCTATATACCGATGTGTTGCGACTTGGCCCCTGAAATAGCTCTTTTGAAGGACTTGGAGGCTAAGTTATACTCCTTTTTAGTGTGCTGGTGTTAACATCCCGTGCCACCATCGCATAGGTCTAGGCTTGGTAGGCGCCCCGCTTTCAGTGTGAGGTCTATATGATAGAAGCACGAAACCAAGGATATCTGCCACCGACGGAGACCAGAGAAGATGGGACGAAAAGCTCCATTCCCTGCAGCACAACATCAGCAACAGAATCGGCAGCGGCGTTGGGGTCATCCTGCAAGAAGCAAACCCGCCTCCAAGAGTAGGATGCAAAAAAGGACCACATCCCATCCCAGTCGGCCGACCTATAGTGACATACACGGCGACCGCGTGCTCTTATAGTCGCGGTGAGCACGTACAAGACACAGATGTAAAAAACCTACGGACCTAACTAGTACTCTTTAAACAGTACTTTGCAATGGGGGATTGAACTAGGGATATGACTTTTGAAACAGTTGAAAAGTATAAATATTCGTATTTTTCGCTTTACGCGGTAACCCTGAATATGGTGACGTACTTTTCTATCTCTGCGACATACTGGCGATATCTATAGCTTGCCCAAAGTTAGGGGTTGTGGTCAAAAATGACTGCTTTGTTGGCAGAGTGGTCGCAAGTTCGATTGCCGAGCAAGGGGTCTGGGGTTCGATTCCCGGGTCGGGCGAAGTACAACCGAGTTTTGAGAAAATTCTCAGTAGGAGCAAGAGTCTGAATTTGTGTCCGGATATGGCAATAGCTCACCTCCTATTACATGGGACTCATAACATAAATAGTGAAAAGTGGATGTTACATTGTACAGTGGCATTAAGTGCCGTAATGTGCACCTCTGCCTACCCCTTCGGGGATAAAATGCGTGATGTTATACACCCTGGAAAAGCTGGGGACAAACAAAACCAGTGGTACATTCTTACCTTAAACTAAATAAAAGGCAAAGTATTTTGAAAAAATAGTGTAATAGTTATAATTTTAAATATTCATTACCACTAATAAATAGATTTATATCACTAGACAGTCGCTGCTTTATAATTAGAGTCATTTAATTTAACAAGTAAAGGCACTGATCCTTCTTAAAAACACTATTACAATCTAGGCATAATAATGCAACAGTCACGTCATGATTAACCAGAATCGCAACTGTTTCATCAATTTAATAAAATTCATTTTCATATTAATATTATGGAATTGATTGTCTATTTTCAGCAAAAACTGCAATAGAAGAAACATACATGACTCCCATTCTATATTTGATCGAAACACTAAATATAAATGTTTTTCAAAGCAAATATTTATACATTATGAATTAAATAATGACGGTTTCGAGTTAATAACCTTAAAATAATTATTATCATACACATTTCATATAAATCGAAAGTAAAATGTTTATGTCGACTAAAACGGAATATTCAGTTATAAATAATTAAATCAACTGTTTACATTTTGACATTGAAAATACATTACTTATGTTTATAATAACATAATAAGGCACCAAAGCATGAGCATTCGCCTTAAAATAATTTCGAAAACTCAAAGGAATAACAATGCTAATACACATGTAAAATGTTAGCATACTTTTTCATTTGTACTGATTTATTAAAATTATATACAAATATATTCTACAAAAATATTTCAGATACCTAATTCATTATCATCTATTTTGTACACGCAAAATAGAACTTATGTTATTATGCCGTTATATTTATATTTCGACTTACGAGAACTAACAGTGTAACATTGCTATTGTTTGACATCAAATAATTTGAAATAAAGTCGGAAGCCCAATAAATGTTAGCTTCACTGGAAGTTGGTAATGTAAATAAATAGATCATATATTCTGATGGAGTAAAAATCTAAATTAAAGAAAAGTATAAACATATATTTGAGCGTTATCATAGCTAGCCATAAAGCGATTAAATGTGCATTATTCCACTTGCGCGCAACCGACACCTCAGGTTCGCTTTCCTTTATAAAACTGTTTTACAGGTAAGTATAGCTTTAGCAACAGGAGAAAAAGAAGGTCTAACCTACGTTGTTAGTATTTTAGCGTAATTGAGTTCTATCCATGGCATGATTTAAATTAAAAATATTAAAATGCCCTCAAGCTCTTACCTTGGAAATAGAATTTTGTCATGACATCTCATCCAGAAATTCGTCAGTCTCATTAAACTGTCTTTATTTCGAAACCACCCAGACTAGTTTTTTAGTACTCACAATCTTTTGCAATATTTACATAGTAACAATCACAATACCACAAAATACATAACATTCTGAAAGGCTATAGATGTTAAATGAACACATTTTGAATTAAATTCTTAAATATCATTGTGTATATTATTTTAAAAGCAAGACTCATATAATAATAATATCTTTATCATTCGACAGCAAATCCGGCCGTTTCGAGCACCGCTTGTTTGAGTTTGTCGTGAAGTTTGCCCTTATTAGGATAAGGAGGTAAATCGAGACGATTGAAACAAGTGTGAGCCTTCGGAAGCGAGTCGGGAGACGCGTCCGCCACTAGGTGCAGAGTGAACAGCCGAGGAGCGGCCGCGCCAGTCGACCCTTGCAGGGCTCGGAACCCGGCCAGCGGAACGCGGCGAGATCCCGTGACAAATTGTAACAATCTAGCTCGCATCTCCGCGTCGAATTCTTCGACAATCTCCCAGAACCAGGAGACTATTGGCGCGTCATGCGTGACATGCTTGAGCCGCGTGTGTCGACGCCAGTCGGCCGGGTCGAGGTCGGCGCGGCCCGCTAGCAGCGGCTGCAGGTCGCGCGGCGACAGCGGGCGCAGCAGCTGCGGCGGGATGATGTCAGCCAGGCCGCGCTGCAGCGCCAGCCACTGCCGCTCCGCGCCGCGCGTGAAGCGGTGCGCCACGTAGAGCCGCACGTAGTCGCGCTTGTTGGCATCCGTCACGGCTTCGTTGGTACCTCCGGGCCGAAGTTCCACGCTGCGGACTGCGCCGAATGACGAACACTCCACAGAGAACGTTGTGTCTATTACTCCGGCAATGCTGTTTTCTCTGCAAAATGAAATAGCAACATTAAAATTTTCTAATAAATTGAAAACAAAGTAGTATATAGTATACATAATCATAGTAACTAATTCAAAAACTTACAGCATCCAGGAAAGCGACCGATGTAGTTCTGGGTCCACGTCGCGAATGTCACGTAAGGTTATCGGCCTACCGAGCAACTGCTTGTAGAAGGGAGCAGTGAATGCCGCGTCTAACTGATGTCCATGGAACAATGCCACACCGAGAATGCGCCCCGCAAAGTGGAAATATGATAGATGTTCTGGGTTCACCTGCACAGAAATTAATATTACAAAATTATGATACTGTAACAAATACTTAAACTTCAAATTCATTAGCTGGATCATGCTTACCCCAGAATCCGCATTAATTTGCAGCGCATATCGATCGTCG